CCCCAAAACCCCAAAACCCCATCAAGTGAATTTTGGGGAAATGAAATTGAAAATCATAGATTAAAAAATGAAGAATTTATATGAAGTCTTAAAATTACTTTATCAAACAAATAATTAATCTTTAAGATTCTACTAAAATTACTCCAAGCAACTAAATATGTTTTCTTACTTATATTTCAAATTATCAATTGCTTTATTTAGCTGAGAGGAGCAATGATCTCTTTGATTATTATCCTGCTCATTTTGAAACTTTTAATAGCTTTCAATGACTTAAGATATATCTTTTGAATATTCTTTCAGAGACAAATCTGTCGAGTATATCAAATTATTTTTAGCATCTTGTAAAATTAGTCTATTAAAGTTCACTTCTGGATTATAAACTAACTCAGATTTAAATTCCTCTTTATCTGCATCTTAAGGATTCTTAATAACAAATTCTTGCTTCGTTTTATCATACATGACTCTTTTATCAAGACTAAGTTACTCTATTAGATCATCTGCTAAATATAAGTTCTAAAAGTCTTTTAGTTCTCGGATTAGATATTTAAGAATTAACTGCTAATCTGTATTATTTGCCGAATTCTATCTCTCGAACAATAAAGTTTTAAAGTGTTCAAGATATTAATTTTTCAGTACTTTTAAATCAATTTGATTACCATCTGCTTAGCAAATTTGGAGGGCAAAGAGTTATATTAATCTTTTTGAATACCGAATGAGAATATCTAGACTAAATTTTTGAAGATTCTATCCAACTTTATTAATTTAATCTCAATAAGATTTTTAAGATTTTGTATTTGATTTTACTTTCTTCATCTGAGCTCTTAATTAAATTAGATCTGGAATGAAAAACCAAGCTCATTAAAAAATCCTCCACATTTCTAAAAGAAATCTCCTTATTTAGGTTAATGTTAATGCTTAAACAAGTTATATCCATTCTTATTATATGATGCATCCCGAAATTCCCAGAAAACTATATTAAAATAATAGATATTAATCTCCTTCAACTAATATTTCATCCTTTGTTTGTAACTAATACATACTTTCAAATCTTTAAGAATTTCCTTAATAATCTCAAGTGAGCTATCATTAGGAAATACTGCGTTAAATCTTATTTCATTGGCTTATAAAATTGGAGAGGCTATTAGTTCCCTGAGCCCATTAATACTATTTATCTTAGAGGTGAAAAGTTTGATAGTCTAAATGAAATTGCTTTTGTAGTTATGATTCACTTAATGTAGTTTGAATATCTTATCCACGATATCTAGAATAGGTTAGTTTTTCGATTTATATTCTTTATCACTTCCGTTGTAAGCAGGCAAGAAATGTACGATAAAACTTTACTTCAGTTTACCACTATCCTCACCTCTATTTATAAAGTACTTAAGATTTCTAATTCCTGTATTCTATTTATGAAGATTATCGGCACCCTTGATAAGATATATTATTGTTGTCGGGGAGCTAGATTTGTTAACTTGATTAAAGTTTTCTGAAGCATCTAGAAAATCTTCGAATTCTTGCCAGTTGTCATCAAATATATTTATTACAAACAGTACATCACATATTCGAAGCAGACACAGAGATTGCATCAATGAGGAGAATTATGATAAATTTCTCGCTGTCTTTCTCTTCTTCTTTTCATCTTTTACCCATGATATTTGGCTTTAGAACTCATAGACTGTCTCAGAACCTCTATATCCCTCAGCATCTAATAGAATTTGACTGAACCAGTAATTATTGATAGCTCCAATATCTATGCCATTAGTAGTCTTTTCCCCTTCAGTCTCACTAGATTTGAATTATACACCGAACGATGATCTCATGAAGGTACTCTTCCCTATTTGTTATTTTCCAATTATACCAATAACAAAACTCCTTTAATAATTTCCAACTTTTGATTTTAAGGTTTCTGATAGGTTTATTTATAGCTAAGGTCTCTTTAAATCTTGATCAAGATTTATAGAAATGAGATTTTCTGATGGTTAAGCGAAATCCATAAAAAATCTTTTATTATTAGAATACTTGAGTTAAAATAATATTTAGTGTTAAGTTAATGTAAATCCAATAATAAATTTTAAACTCGAATTTAAAACTTGTAAAATCACCCTCATTATTATTCTAGGGCTTGAGATTCAAAGTTAGAAATGAATTCTAGAACATTTGGTAACTATTCCTTAAGATCATTAATGGCCTTTTCGAAGCTATCCATCTGCTAAATCTTCTTCTTGAAATCATCTTCAAATTAGAAAACAGAGTATGACTCAAGAGCTAAGCCTACCACTCCAAATGCAAATCCAAACCCTTGTGATACTTTAGCTGCTCCTCCAATATTACTCACTTTTCCGACATTGAATTTTTATACATCTTTGAATGCCTTAGTATTCTGTCCTATTAATCTGATTCCATCGGTACCCGAGGCTTTGGAAGCGAATCCTCCTAGATTTTTTGCTGTCTGAAGTTCTTCAATTGTTTTATATCCTATCTCAGAAACTTTATAAATTTTTCTACTGTTTCTTGTGAAGAATTCAACTTTTTACAGCTATTAAAGCATTTGTATTCCTCCATTAGAGAGATTATTTCCAATAGAACTAAAATACTAGTTTCCAAAATCTTAGAATTTGAACTCCTCAGATGAAACATTGGTTGAAAGAAGTGAAAGCTCAAAATCTCTCTCATTATACTTGACATATTCTTCAATAACTTTCTATTTGAGTTTTGAATATTATATATCTGCATCATTCTTGATTGTTTTGATGATCAGGAAAATAAGAAGTCTTTTGAGTGAGGAAGATTTTTCAATTATATCCTTAATTTATTCTAGAACTTCCATGATCTATTTAACCTCCTGCATAAAATCCTCTACCATTTTAACTTCTTTTTCAACTTCTTGTTATTTTGACTTTAATACAGTTTACTCAACTGCAATTTTTGAAGCTAGAGTAGCTAGAGTTACTCCAGCAACTATCCAACCCGCAATAGGTACCACAGCAGCTCCTGCTAGGGCAGCACCAGCAGTAGCTATACCAGCAGCTGAGGCACCCATTGATAGTCCACTCATTGTATGAGAAATAGCTCTAGATTCCCATAGAATATCTCTCTTAGAAGGTATATCAAGAATTTCAAGAGTGTGTTCTAGAAATTCTTTCTTATTTTTAATAACTTTTAGTTTTGATACTAGATCTCTATAAGTCTTTATCATATCTTCATTTTCGAAATGAACCTCGAATTGAATACTCACGAAGTCAAAAACACTTAATGGTTTTAAATCTGATATTTTTTATACTTGATTTAGCTTATGAGTAATTGCTAAAATTTGTTGCTTTAATTCTATTTAGTTTCTTAGATTACCTTATTCATTTTAAATAATGAAATTGATGAATCTCAAAGTACTCTCATTCTATTCTTTATAAAGAGTATCATTTTCAGAGTAACTTGGCAAAAAGAAGCAATTGAAGTCATTAAGGTTCTCGCTATTTTCAATTTCTAAACTTTAAGGATCATCTATATCAGTATTCTCATAAGCAAATGCTTATCGAAGATTTTTCCTTGCTAAATTTTTCTTATTTTCATTATCAGCTCCTTTTATCAAGTATACTATTTATGGGAGAGACCTTTTTTCTTTATCAAATTCTTAGAAACTTTCAATAAATTCTTCAAAATCTTGCCATTCATTCTGGTATTCATTGACTACAAATAGTATATCACAGATTTCTAAGAGAAATACCGACTACAAAGCTGATGAAAAATTAGAAAGATTTCGAGCTTCCTATCTACTTTACCTTCGGTCTTAAGTCCAAGTGATTTGGTTTTAATATTTCATGATACTTTCTGAGCTCCTATAGCCTTCAGCATCA